AAAGTAAGCTTGAACGTGACCTGTTCAACACTGAAAATTATCAATGAAGGGTGCCCATCAACGACATTGCTCCTAACGTATTTCTTCCGTAAGCTTACCAGGAGAGCGAAGTATTGATGACGACTGAAGATAATTCGATAACCGTTATGGAGCCTTGTTTCTCGAATAAGCCAGCTTTGCAAGGGTGGTCAGAGCCATTTCAGAACTTCGGGATAACAACAGTGTCCATTAGCGAAAACTTATGCATTCCATAACGAAACAGTCCTTCATATGACTCTCAAGTCTCTTGCTAATGTGAAAGCTTCTAAGGCTGTGAATCGTCATGGATGGTTCACGTGGACATGACGAACTCGCCCATTTTCTCGCCCCACTCATTTCCTTTCATTTGAACGTCGATGTGGAGCTTTCAGGTTTTCTCACTGAAGCAATCTCCTCATTGGAGTCACCAATGGTGAGCCTCCAAGAATGTGACACTTTATCTGCAAAGCTCCGCCAGACCCATGTATCGCTTAAAGCTGCTCTTATTCCTAGCTCGATGTTGTCGCGTAAACGACGAAGATTGTCAGAGCAGGGTTGAGCCACAACTTTTCGTTTGCAAACGTTCGAATGAGGTTGTGGATTCGCTCGAATTATTATTTACCAGTCGAGTCGCCCGGCTAACACCGGGCTTCCCTCCTTCTTATGATAGAGTTGTTATAATTGGCAAACAGCTCGCTCCTTCCTTGAAACAAGTGATACTTTTGGAACACGAAATTCATAGAGGGCAGACGTTATCCAAAATGTGCCGATGCCTATGCCTTTGATTAGAAGTCTCGTTATGTTGCTATTCAATTTAAAAATAATGGCCCACTGAAGGTTTAACTGGTAGGCATCCAAAGCCGTGAATGGTATCACAAATGTTGTCAAGTAATAACAATACCATTAACAAGTGGCTCCTGAATGTAGCTCCTTTTCTCTATGGATACATCATCGATTGAGAATCCAAGATTATTAGCGGTCGGATAAGTTTTGCCATGAATCATATCGAAGCAGAGAGAACAGTGATCCTTCATTGAATCACAAACTTCGCTGGGTGGGGGTCGTAAGCAAGAAGTGAACCAGATTTCACAATCGGTCCATATCAGTGCACTTACCCTTCTTGTCGAATGAAAAATATCAAAGAATCAAAGCTAGATCGTAAATAAAGAAGGCCTAGGATTCAATTGGTGATTGGATCTTGTTTTCTAAGACCTATTCTCTCGTCATTGTTTCCACCCTGCCCCCTCTACTGATATTGATTTTGCTCCATGGGATCAAGAATTTTGGGTTTTAGCACAGACTTTCGTGGAAAACCCGCCCTCAGTGAGCGGAGCCCGGCCTTACTACCCACCATAAGTGTTCGCATGCTGTCGCCTGTCCCCCTAAAAAGTTTGAGCGCCCTAGAGCCAGACTGAAAATTTTCGCGCACACCCCGCCTTCTATGGGTGGGGTCCGATCCTCCCACCTACCATAAGTGTTCCTATCCTGCCACCTACACTCCTGCCAAGTTTTGAACGCCCTATGGTCAAATTGACAATTTTGGCGCAAACCCGCCCACTATGGACGCGATCAGGTCCCTCCCCCTGCCAAAATGTTTACCAATAATAGTGCCAAATTGAAACGCTCTAGGTCCACTGAGACAGGGGTTATTATTTTCCGCTTAAACATTTATTCGGCGCAAACCTCAGCTCGGCGGAATCGTACTACATCACAGTGGCTTGCATCATATCTTGTACCGCGCTTGCGGTGCTGGCGTCCGAGCATTGATGATGGAGAACGCCTTCTCACAAGGGAAGGATACTAGGTCGCAGTGGCCATCTGAGATGAGATGTATACTGCCGAATGTGTCTCCAGGTGAGTATCTCAAATCCGCTTTCCAAATCTGCTAAACGATTCTGG